GCAGATATCCTAAATGTGTACTCTATGTGATATACAAAATTTTATTTATACTAATTTATTTGATTTTCACAGATGAGGAAAGTGAAGTAAATTTCTTAAGTTAATAGGGCAATTCCTAGCTCCAAGGGTCCTAGTCTTAACCTGTAATCCATGAGTTTCCAGCCTTTTGGCTTCCTCGGCCACACTGAGTGATGAAGAGGTATTGTATTGGGCCATAGACAAAATATACAACATGTTAATATGTAAGTAACCCAAAGCCTTTTTTTTTTTTTTTTAAATGCATTTGGTACAGGGTCTCACTATGCTGCTCGGGCTTGTGGTGATCCTCCTGTTTTCAGCCTCCCCAGCTTTGGGGTTACAGGCCTGCACCACCATGCCCAGACTCAGTGGATGGCTCAATGCACCTGAGGGCGGGGCCAGCGCAGCATGTGGTGCCAGGGATGAACCCTGATTCCTGTGCTTGTCTAAGCAGGTGCTTAGCCCACTGAGCTATCTTGCCAGCCCTCAAAGCTTTTTTTATTATAATTTATTAGTTTATGAAGTTATACACCAAGCCCAGGTTTCCTAAAATAGAAAAAAAAAATTTTTTTTAAGTTTTAAGGAAGGATCTACAGGATGTTCAGGGTCTCACTACTAGATCAGAATCGTCGTGATCTGCCTGTTTACAGCCTCCCAAGAGCTGGGATTACAGGCATGCACCACCATGCCAAATCTCAATTGCCTTCTCAGCACACCCCAGGGATGGGGCTGGCACAGCAAGCCTGGAGATTGAACCTCCAGCCCCTATGCCTGCTTGCAGGTGCTTTAATCTGCTGAGCTATTTGGCTGGGCCTCTAAAATAGAAAATTTATATCTACTTAATAATGATGAATACCTACTTCTGCAGACACACGCACATGCAGGTAGGTTGGAATACCATCATCAGTCCTCTCTGAATTTTACTCACCAAGTTGCACAAGTGCATGTGGCATCTGACACGTGTGGGTTTCATATTTGCTGGAGTTAGCACTGCCCTGCATCTTCCCTTGCACAGCAATCATTGTCACCTACACAGACTGTCCGGAGAGTTACACATTCAAGTCATTAAAGATACAGCCCAAAAGCACACAATAACGTTTGTGATCTTGAGGGGACCACATCACTAGTTTGAATACACCTGTTCTTGACCATACTGTTCATAGGAGTTCAATAAATGCTGATTTTTTTATGTTGCTTTGTTATATTAAACTGAATGATTCAGTATTGTCTCTTTTGTCCATATTCATATTTGTATCTGAGGGGCAGGATCTCTATATGTCTGCCAGGCTGGTCTCAAACTCATGAGCTGTGGTGATCCTCTTGCCTGTGTCTCCCGAGTAGCTGGGACCACCATGCCCAGCCCCTCTGCCCATGGCCAGCATTGCATGTGTGATCTGTCATTCAAGTTCCGGCCTCACTAAGTAAAATCTGTTGATTTTTAACTCTCAGTTGTGTCCTCCTCACACAACAGTACCTAACTGTGGTGTATCTACTGGGTCTCGCCCCGCTTAACATTGCAGTTTTTGTAGCCTTCGTAGCAAGCTCCCACTTAATCTTCACACACAGGCTAAAGAAGCATCACTGGAGCCCTTCCTTATGGTGCCTTGTTGCCTCCTTTAAAGTCATGGATATTGGACTTCGAGTGGAGTTACAAGAAGCAGGCCTTATTTCTCTTTTCATCTAAAATAAAGAAGTACAAAAAAAAAAAAAAAAAGTACATCTGTGAGCATACCACACTTTTTCTCATTGTATTGTGTATTTTAAAAAAATAATATGGACCTTCTGATTTACAGTATGAGCTGCTTTGTGCATGTTTGTGTAAATCTTAAAACCCTATAGGAGGGCCGGAGAGACGGCTCAGTAGAATAAGTGCTTCCCTGGCAAGTGCAAGGGCCTGAGTTCAATCCTCAGTTCCAAAAAAACCCCTAGAGGGTAAGTTAATATCATCTCAAGTGTTATACTATTTACCTAAATCATGTTGTGGAGCTAACTTTCAGTCTACAGCTAGAACCTTTTTGAGGGAAAGAGCCATGCTGATCGTCATTCTTTGCAGCCTCTGGACCTAGCTCAGGACCTGGGACATAATATAAACCCTAAGATGTGTTGCTTGAATGAAATAGCTCAACATACTTTGCTGCTTGATTCTTAACACCCAAGGTTATGCTGACTCTCTTTGGAACACTTATCACATTGTAAAATCTCTAGGAAAGCTATGCCGGGCATGGTGGTGCATGCCTGTGATCTCAGCACTCAGGAGGCTGAGGCCAAATGATCAGGGCAAGGGCCAGGCCAGCCTGGGATGCAGAGCAAGATGCTGTCCGAAGAAAAGGATAATTTTGACTTGATTAAAATAGGCACTCTTGGGCTGGGGAGATGGCTCAGTAGAGTAAGTGCTTGCCTGGCAAGCTCAAGGGCCAGAGTTCAATCCTCGGTTCCGCCAAAAGAAAATAAATAAATAAAATAAAATAGGCACTCTCGTGGTGTTACATTCGTGTGTGTGTGTGTGTGTGTGTGTGCGCGTGCATGTTGCTGTTCCACTCATTCTTATGATACAGAACTCTTGGTAATTTTGCCAATAACCTAATTAGGAATTGACTGACTGTAAGAACCAAATTTTATTCATGCTGGTTCAAGCGAGGGGAAAGGTGAGGTGAGGGGCTACTGCCAGGCCCCAGAGGCAGTACTGCTAGGCCTCCTGCAGACTGGCCTGGGCCTGCTCTGATCTCCCTCTCATGAAGTTGTGAGCTCTTGGCCTCTCAGTTCTAGAGTCTAAGCTCAGTGAGCTCATCTAGGTCAGGGCTGATGACCCACTTGAACGAGGTGATGAAAGAAAGCAGTGTATGTATGTGTCAGACTTTGTCTAAAGAATGTCAAAAATAGCTGCGGGGAAAGATAAAAAATTAAAAAAAAAATAGCTGGGAATGGTGGCACGTACCCATAATCCCAGCACTCAGGAGGCTGAGGCAGGAGGATGGCCACAAGTTCCAAAAAGATGCAACTGATACCACATAGCAAATTTCTGGTTTTCTTAGATAATATCTTTAAATTTTCAAGTTTATTTTACTGAATACAGTATTTTATTTTATTTATTTATTTACTTTAGGGAAGGGTCTACAGGGTGTTCAGGGTCTCACTACTAGATCAGACTCATAGCAATCCGCCTGTTTACAGACTCCCAAGAGCTGGGATTACAGGTGTGCGCCACCACACCTAGTCTCAGTTGCCATCTCAGTACGCTCGGGTGTGGGACCAGCACGGCAGGCCTGGGGATCGAACCCCCTGCCTCCAGGCACTTTAATCTGCTGAACTATTTGGCTGGCCCTAATACAGTATTTTAAAGACTCTAAATTTATGGTAGAAAATATAGTTTGATTCAACATGCATTGTACTTAATACATGTTAATTAATGGGCAATACAGAAAATAAAAGACCTTGCAAGAGAAGGGTCAGGGATATAGCTTAATGGCATAAATGCCTGCCTGGCAAGCACAAGGTCCCACGTTCAATTCTTGGTACTGAAAAAAAAAAAAAAACCCACATGTGCAAAAGGTACCTTCAAGGCTGAGGTACAGCTGAATAGTATAGCACTTTCCTACCACGTTTGAAATTCTGGGTTCAATCCCTAGCACCAAAACTATTTAAAAATATACACATACTTTGAGGTCAACAAAGTTCATTTGCTAGATAGGAAGAGGCCTGAAACTTGGGCCAAGTCCAAAAAGTTTAAAGGACCATGCTATCTTTGACTTTTTTTTTCTTTTAGACAGGGTCTCACTATGCAGTTCAGGGTGGTCTTGCACTGACTGTGTAGCCCAGGCTGGCCTCAAATGCATAGTGACCTTCTAGACTCAGACTCCTGAGTGCTGGAATCTCAGGTGTACACCACCATGCCTGGCTACCAGTGGTTATGGAAGAAGAAGAGATCTGGGTGGGCTGGTGCACACTTGCAGTCTCAGCACTCGGAAGCCTGAGGCAGGAGGATCCTTGCAAGATTGAGACCAGCCTCGGCTGCAAAGTGAGCTCAAGGCCAGCTTGAACTCATAACTAGTCCCTCTCTCAAAAAGAAGAAGAAAAAGACTGGAGATTGAATGCAAAACCTTCACACTATACTGTGACCCCAGTCCGATTTTTATTTTATTACTCCAAGTCGCTAAATTGACCGTTCTGAACTCAAACTGGAAATCTTCGCACCTCAGCCCTTAAGAGTGCCAACCAACTATGCCTTTTCTTTTCTTTTTCCTGGTATTGGGGATCTTGTGTGTGCTAGGCAAGAGCTGTACCCCTGAAGGTCCCCCCCTTTTTTTTTTTTAATTTTGAGACAAGATCACACTAAATTGCCCAGGCTGTCCTAGAATTTGTGATCCTCCTCCCTCAGCTTCCTGGGTAGCTGGGATTTCAAATGTGGACCACCATGCTAAACTCCAGTTCTGCCTCTTTTTTAAAAAACCACATTTTCTGTACTTCTGATTTGATTTGAAACTGTCTCATTGCTATCTGTTTATCAATAAAACTGTAGAAAAAAAAAAACCACATTTTTTTCTAATCCTTACTGTTTTCTTTTTCATTTTGCTATTTTAATGGGCAAAGAATTATCTCTACATGATTTTTCTTGATTATTTTTTATTTTTATTTTTTGGTAGTATTCGTATTTGAATCTAGAGCATTATGTCACTACCTACTTCCAAAATCTGTATTATTTTGAGACAGGGTCTTGCTGAGTTGCCCAGATTGACCTTGCATTTGAGATCGTCCTGCCTGTCTTCTCGGGAGCTGGGATCATGGCGTGCCACATGCCAGCTCTACTTGATGTGTTGATGGAATTTTGTTTTTCATACAACAGTAGAATTTGGTTAGCAATGTTTGACTGTTTGTGTAAGGTTGTTGTAGGATTATTTACTGAGAGTTGGTATTTAACACATTGATATTTGATGTATGTTGGTGCCTAATGGCAACTCTACTAAATCCAAAATTCTTTTTTTCAGCCCCTGTAAGATCTGGATATGTCCTTCATATTTAATTGGATCTACAGTGGTTTCAGCAGCGTGCTACAATTTTTAGGTAACATGGCCTTTTGTTTTCTCTGTTTATCCCACTTACTCCTATTCATATATGTGTACTCACTTGTGCAGTACCTTTTTACAAATAAGCAGCAGTTGAGACGACACATGAGCTGGTCTTGGCAGCCCACAGCTCTGCTCTGGGAGGCGGAGGCAGCAGGGTGGTAAGTTCAGGCCTAACCTGGGCGATGTAGCAACTGAGTAAGATCCTGTCTCAAAATTATAAAACAAAAGATAAAGTTCAGGTCTGGGAGTACAGCTCAGTGGTCCAGAGTACGTTGAGGGTGTGTGGGGTCCCACACTGAGCTTGGAGCGATCCTTGAACTTGGAATGAGCCTTCTTCCTCTGCCTCCTGGGCACTGGGAGTAGATGTGCACCACTACGTCTGGGTTAAGAAATTAAGAAACACTTGTGATTGAAGAAACATTGGTGTGAAACGTAGCGGTGAAGTGCCAGTCTGCTCTCAGTTGGTCGTGGTTGCCTTTTCCCATTTATCAGCTCCTCAGTGCTGCGTTGATATTTTTTGTGTGTACAACAGACTGTGTTTTATGGCACTGGGACCACACCTCGGGCCTCGCAGAGCTAGCCTTTATCTTGTATTTTGAGACAGTCCTCCTGAGTACTGAATTGCTCAGGCTAGGCTCAAACTTGTGATCTTTCTGTCTCAGCATCCCAGAGCACTGGGATTATAAATGTGCACCACCACACTCATGTCCACTTGGTTTTTGTGTTTTGTTTTTGAGACAGAGTTTTGCTGTGTAGTTCAAGCTGGCCTTGACCCCGCTGTGTAACCTGTTCTGGCCTGTAGCTCCTGGTGATCTTTCTATCGCACTCAGCCTCCTTAGGGCTGGAATTATAGGACTGTGCCACCTCGCCCAGCTGTGCTTGCTTTTTTTTTTTTTTTTTTTTTGCGGAAGCAGGGATTGAACTCAAGTCCTTGCGCTTGCCAGGGAAGCGCTTATTCCACTGAACCATCTTCCCAGCCCCTGTACTTGCTTTTTTGTGGTTGTTTAGTTTTATGGAATTCTGTTAAAGACCTTTTGGCCTTGTTTAAGGATATTCAGCAATGAAAAACTTAACTTTTTGACTGAGAAAACTTGCTATAGTTTCTTTTGTTAAAACAGTATATTTAATCCTTGAAAATTTTTTTAAAACTTTTCCTTCATTGTAGCTTTATAAATACATGGCATCAAGTATTATATGAATGTTTTCATAAACACTGTATCTAGTCAGTGCTTACTAGAGTCAGATGTAGAAGGTTACAGAACATCTGGCTGGGCGCTGGAGACCCAAAGGATCCAGTCGAGGGCTTGGAGCCCACGACAGTGTCAGTGCAAGTCCAGATTAGGAGGCTGAAGGACAATTAATTAACCACCACAATATTCATCTCTAAATTGTCAAAGCAATCAAACTTTTGATAATGTAGATATCTTTTAGCAATACAAATATTCTTCTATGGGGTCAGATTTAGTTTTTTAATTATTTGAAATCCCGATCAGTAATAGATTTTTTTTTCTTTCTTTTTGGAGGCAGGGTTTCATTGTTGTTAGGCTAGACTCAAACTTGCAATCTTTTTGCCTCAGTCTCCCAAGTGCTGGGATTCCAGGCCAGTGCCACCATGCCCAGCTTTAATAGATTTTAAACAGAAAAAAAATTTGGAAATAAAATCATGCATGGTGGTACAGGCCTATATTCCCAGCATACTGGTAGGCTGAGGCAGGAGAATCACAAGTTCAAGCCTAGCTTGGGCAACTTAGTGAGACTCTGTCTAAAAATTAAGGCTGGAGGGCCGGGGAGATGGCTCAGTGGAATAAGCACTTGCCTGGCAAGCGCAGTGGCCTGAGGTCAATCCCCGGTTCCGCAAAAAAAAAAAAAAAAATTAAGGCTGGAGTATAGTTCTATGCAAAGGCCTGCAGTTCCATCCCCAGTGTTGGAAAAAAAACCAAAAACTTCAATGAGAAGAAAGAAGTGTGCTAATAGTGTTTGGACAGGATATCCTGTCTGCTTCTTGTACTATGGATAACCACTAAGAAGATGACAATGTACAATGTATTGATTATCGAAACTATCCTATTATTCAGCTTTGAAGCTGTCTCATTCATATTTATTTCTCAATAAAATAAAATAAAATAATTAAAAAATGAAAATTTCAAAATAAGTTTAGAAGTTCAAGCTTATTTATGCTAAACTTAAAATTACTTGAATAATATGTATCAGATATCATTTTGATTAACCCTATCTCTTACTCTGTGTATAGGATTATATAAGAAAACTGGTAAATTGGTATTTCTTGGATTGGATAATGCCGGAAAAACAACATTGCTACATATGCTAAAAGATGACAGACTTGGACAACACGTCCCAACATTGCATCCCAGTAAGTACAGTCGCCCATATCGCATTGTACCTGATCACCACAACACTGGTTACTTAAAGTGATACTGAAAGAGCCGGGGAGATAGCTCAGTAGAATAAGCACTTGCCCGCCAAGTGCAAGGGCCTGAGTTCAATCCCCAGTTGTGCCAAAAAAAAAAAAAAAGTGATGCTGAGAGTTAGGCACTCAAAATTCCTGGGGGTTACATTCCTAAGAGTACCCACGAATTGTGAAATACCTTGAGTTTCAGATATGGTCAGAAAATGCCTACGAACATTTACTTTTATAGTTTAAACACTAAATATGCTTTGTCTCCTTGAGTTATGTAATAAAACACTGTAAAGGCTCTGTAGGTGCAGGGCATTCTGGTGGCATCTTAGGGGCGGATGATAGGGCTTTAAGAAGAACAAAACGCCGCTTTTCCTCCCGGGCTGTCTGAGGATCCGTTGCCATCATGAATGACACAGTAACTATCTGAACTTGGAAGTTCATGACCAACCAACTTCTTCAAAGGAAACAAGTGGCCATTGATGTCCTTTGCCCTGGGAAAGCAACAGTACCTAAGACACAAATTCGGGAAAAACTCGCCAAAATGTACAAGACCACACCAGATGTCATCTTTGTGTTTGGATTCAGAATCCCGTTTGGTGGTGGCAAGACGACTGGCTTTGGCATGATTTATGATTCCCTGGATTATGCGAAGAAAAGTGAGCCCAAACACAGACTTGCAAGACACGGCCTGTATGAGAAGAAAAAGGCCTCAAGAGAGCAGCGGAAGGAACGCAAGAACAGAGTGAAGAAAGTCAGGGGCACCGCAAAGGCTAACGCTGGGGCTGCCAAAAAGAAGAAATGAAGTGGCAGTGAGCTGGAGATTGGAGACCAGCCGAAGGAGGAGGGATTCTGCAGCGCCGTCTGCAGTGGCCGCAAGTTTTTTCACAAGCGGATTTAATAAACTGTAAAACCTTAAAAAAGAAAGAAAGAAAGAAAAAGAATGACAACAACGAAACTGAGAATACTTGAAGTGGCTGCACAGCACAGTAAGCTGTCAAGATGCAGGAATCCAGGTGTATCTGCCCGAGATGAGCCACAGGGCACCCG